TAAATTTCAAACAACTGTTGCACTTAGTAGCATATTTACCATCTTTTTTTCCAGCACAAAATGACAACATACTCTTTTCAGGAGATTTCGGCTTGATCTAGCAATTTGTATAATATTATCATCTATTAGCAGTTCAAATGATTCTTTGGTAATCATTTTGAATTTTTGATGCAAGATTGAGATATCTTTGCAAAATAATTGTAAAAATAAAAAAAACATAAAAACACATTTCCACAAAAAACCAACGTAACTGGTATCGTGGGGGCTGCGCGGCCCCCAGAAGGTACGTAGCTCCATCCTTGTAAGTGCTACAGGGCTGAACATTTGGCACTCGATAAGAGTCGCAACGTAATAAGATTACATAAAATGGCAGCTGCATAAAAATATTTAGATTTTTAGAAAATCGTAAAAATATGACGTGTGGGGGCCGCACGGCCCCCATAAAACCAGTTAAGGGTTAATTGATGAGTGATTAACAGATTGAAAACTATTTTGGAATTGGTTCCTATAATTGAAAAGATATGTTGTATTTTAAAAAATTCCAAATATTTCTTTTATATTAGTTTAAAATCACTATGCAATAGTCTGAACAATGCTACTTTCAGTGTGAAAGAGATAAATTTTTAGCAATCAGAATTAAAAATATATACATGCTTTGTTTTTAATGTAACCAAAATTTTGAAAATTATGACATTTTGACACATTATATACTGTAGTATTATTAAAAAAACTTTCTAATTGATGTTAATTATATATAGGAATAAATTTTCTTGATATCCTTAGCATACTAGCCATATTTTTCAGGTTAGCAATATAAATAGTATAACAATGAATGGGCTTAGCAAACATGTAATATATTGATATCCATAAACAAAAACAAAATGTTATCTCATTTAATTTTTAATGAATTTGAAAATATTTGAGCTATAAACTTAACACATTGCCATAAAAAATATCAACATGGCCATGGTCCTTTTTTTTTAACAAAATAGCACAAATATAGCTATTTAAAATCATTTTATCTTGCAGTTAAAAAAATTTTTATATCAATTTTTAGGCAGATTGCAAAATTGCAACACGTGGGCTGAGTGTTTTCCCCAATCATTTTGTATGCTTATCAGCTTTTGATTTTAACTTCTACTACATTTAAGGTTGCGTAAATGGACCAAGAGAAATAGAATAATCAAAATAAAATACTTACAGTACTGTTTTTTTACTGTTTATGTTCACTGAGAGAAAATGAAGTCTGTTTCTTTAATATTTGAATGTGAATAAGTACAATATCATAAAATATAAAACACACATTATGCAAGAAAAATGTTAGAAAAGGTAAACTTTGCTTATTTTTCATATTTTATGGGGAGAAAAAATTAAATTCCTACTATTTTTTTATTAAAAAACTTTACTGAACCAAGTGCACTTTATTTCCATTGTTTATATGGTTAATGTTTTGCTCCAAAGTAACATATCTCAGATTTCAATATGTAGTGTGTTTCAATTTCTGCAACACATTGCACTTAATGTGTTAAATGCTAGTTATAATAGAAAAAATATAGTTTTGTACAAATCTTAATTCTTAATATGTTAAATTTATTTCCTATTAAAATTGTACTGCTGTCAATGGCTGCACACCTTTAGAGGTATGAAAGAGTACATGTCAGGAGTTGCAATTTGGCACACAGTATTTGGTGCCCAAATTATGCACACACAAAATAAACCAGACTTGTAGGTAGTCAGGAGACTGAGAACTGGGTCAAAAGAAAACATGAAATGTTGAGACTGTTTCTACAAACAGGTGCGAGTGCGGGATTTGCACATACGTTGCTCGTGCTCTCCGAGACGTAATGTCATTCTTGGGAAGAGACTATAAGTAACGGCAAAGCCAAAGAAAATATCTTATTTTTATCATTCAATTTTACATGCATAAGTATTTAGTTTTGAAATAAATTTTAATTCAAAATTATATTTATCCTTATTAATCAAATATTTTCCTGATATTTTTAGAATACTAACCATAGACTCTTACAAAGGAACTATCAGACTTGACAATCGTCATTGCCATGAAAAATGCTAACAACATGTGTTGGTTTTGTAGTTTCTATGATAGCATGAGTATAATAGGTTCCTCACAATGAGCACGTCATAATCATCACTATTTAAGTGACTGGAGTTGGAAGAGATTAATAATAATAGAGTTGGAAGAGATGATATTAATATTACTGCCTTATTGCTAAAAGAGTTATCTTAAAAAAATAAAATTGCTATCCAACACACAGAAAATTTACTCCATTGCCTGAAAAATGTTAAAAGCAGAGAGAAGATATAGCTTTGGTGTCATCTCTGTTAGAGTCTGGAACTTCACCTATCCTCTCAAAATTTTATCCTCTGACTTCATTGTTAAGTCTGGATGGATCCCTTGTCAGTAAAATTGAAGAATAGTTTTTACCATTCACATCTTATTGATGTAACAATTTTCAGTTATGGTGCAAGTATTCAAGTGGCATCAGTTTAGCAGATACATTCAAGACATCAGAAATTCTGAGAGCGTATGTCTATGGAGGTTTTTTGAACTTTGACAAAATGTAAGTAGTTTTTAGAGAGAAATAATTATTGAACTGAACATTAAAAAATTCACACTATTTTAATAGATTAATTACTGGATTTAATAAATACAAAAACTGTATTTGTACATAAATATTACGATTAAAACTTTCGTTTAAATAGGAGACTAGCACCTACAGAAGATGGAATGAGAATTGCAGATACAATCACAAAGGATCTTTTACCATACATTAAAGCATGAAACTGTCAATTATGCATTTTTTTCTCAATTAAAAGCTATAAAACTCAAAGCATATTTTGTTTATTTTATTTAAACCTCTACAATCACAGTTACACTGGTGACATCACTTCATAACAATGATAGTAGAAATATCCTATCATGTCAATATAATGTACAAATACCAGGATTCGGACATTGAGAAATTTCAAATGGTGACAAAAGTTTCTGTTAATAAACTATAATAAAATGAGTTTACAGATTGCAGATAAGAGATGCATAAACCTGCAGCACTGACTGCAAAATTATTCCAAAAAGGTTAGGTATTTTCTTCTTTTTTTTTTATTTTTGAGAAATTATTTAATTCAGTTTTCAATTATAAACAACTTGCAAATTTCTATAGATTTCTATCAAAATTAGGCACATTTCTTTGTCTTCACAAAAAGTTGACTTTGGAATATTTACCTCACTTATTACAAGCAAATGTTGGTAAATCGAAGCTGTGAGAAGCACAAATGATTTTTTTTTTTAATGTTGGAAAATGTTTCTTTTTGGTCTTATAGAAATAATTTTGTTAAGCAAAAAGTGCATCCTTTCATGTTTGATCTGTCAGAGAAGGAAAAAAAATTAATTATATTTTTGGTTTTACAAATCATGAAATATACAAGATAAATTCCCTGTCTTGAAGTGCAGCTTCTTCATTAAAAAAAATTAATCATCTGTTTTGGGATAGAGAAGCACCTATAGCAATTTCAGACAGAAACTTTTATGATTTTCTTTGTTAATTAAACATCAATGTTATTTAAAAAATTTCAAATATTCCCACAATCTTCAACTGTTTTTTTTTTTACACTGAACAACATACCATTACTGAAATTGTGCAAAATGTTATCTTGATGAATAAATACATGGCAACTTAGTTTGCTTCTATAACATACTAAGTATTTTACAAAGAATTGATCACTTTGGAATTCTATGCTCTAATTTTCACTGCAAGTTTACTGCTATGGACTAATTTTTATTTGGCTGGTATTTTCATTGCTGCCTGACTTTAAGTTGCTATTATTTTATATTTACTAAATACCAACTCATACATTGTATAATTAATTAGAAGTTATTGTTCTAACTGGGAAGTTTTCTTCTGCAGTAAGTTTCATTATACAGGAACTTAAATTAGTACACTTGCATTCAAAAACAAAACAGACCTTGACCAAGCACACTGTACAGGAAGACAGCTATAAAAAATGTATAATGGCTTGACTACAGCCTGAGTTCAGTTTGTGCATTGAATATACAAAGTTTTATAATAGAAGGTGTTCCTGATATTTGTAAAAACTAGGCTGTTCATTATGGATGAATGTAACATTGCATTGTTGACACATGACAAGGCAATGAATCTAAAAAGAAAAAGGAACAATGAAAATCAAACATTTTCTACAATTTCTAAAAGCTGATTTATCAGCTTGCACAATGCACGAGGGAAAATATTTTAATTGTCTTTAGGTTAATCTGCAGAAATAAATTGCCATTATATCTCCCATCCTCAAATGAGTATCGTTTGACTCACTTGTTCAATATTTGTGCACCATAAAATTCAACTGTCATGGCTGGGGAAAATTGGGCTATCATATTTGAACAGTTTTGCCCATGATATACTTTTAAAAGAACTAATCCAGAACTAGCACGCATATATTGACTGGACTTGAAACAAAATGTCGTCAATTTTATTATTTTTCAGTCATCTATTAATGCATCCCATTAGAAGCTAGTTAGACTAGCATTGTCTATCCTTATCTGCAAGCTTATAAACACCAACATTTACATTATTACTCTTTACGGTTTACCCTTTCTTGTTTCATTTCAGTATGTCTCCAAATAGGTTGCTCAGAATGGTTAATAACTTCACAGCACATCAGTAAAAACCCCTGTCATCTTTGGGCCGGTCCTTCGTGTGCTGATATGGCTGCTCGGGGTGTAGACCTTGTTCTTGAACGAATGGTAACTCCTAGCGGCATTGAGGACGGTAAAGGAGCAACTGAATGAGAAGCACCTACTACCATGGCGGCTGAAGCTGCAGTTGGAGGTGCATTCAATACTGGTGTCATATTGGTTGGTGGAGCAAGATGGTGTGGCAGAGACCTACCTGTTGCAGGACTAGCTGAATCTGGAGCACCTCGCAAACGACTACTGCTTGCAGTTGTTGGTGCCTGAAGAGCACCACGTGTAGCTGTACTGCCGTGCAAATGATGTCGTTCTCTTCGGTCTCTCTCATCTTGCTGTTCTTGCTGGCTTCGATTACCACCCTGAAAATTAAAAGCTGTATCTGAAATTTCATCAAATTAATGTAAATGCTAATACTTTTACATAAACAAGTTTTTGATTCTCTTACAAATTTTAGCATATTCCAGTCAAAGACATAATCGTATGTAAATCCTTGTCTGTGGAATAAATTTCTTAACAACTGCCGTAAATAGGAATAATCAGGTTTTTCATCAAATCTAAGTGATCTGCAGTAATTCAAATATGTTGAAAATTCAGCTGAAAAAGAAAAAGAGCATCACAGTATTATAAATAAATGTTAATTCATAAATTTTACACTAGTTATTCAGAAATAGCAAAGAGGGAAATAAAAAAATGAAAAATATCAATAAGAAAATCTAAAATAATAATAGTAAAAATATTTAATTAGAATCGACTTCACTGATTTGTAATATGAACTTTTATTCATAAATTTACCTTATTTACTTGCTTATAGGACGAGGTGTGATTTTAAAGAGCAAAATAAAGAAAATTAGATATATTAATACATTTCTAATTTTATTTCGTTTAATCACAAATAANTGAGCCGCAGGTTGCCGACCCCTGAGCTAGATGACTGGCATGATTCTATTGTTAACAGGAAAAGTATTGTGTACAGATGCAAGACGCTACTAAAATTGAGAGCATTGTGACAATATCAGTTTAAATAATTGCTTGTTTTATTTAAGGTATTTATTTTAATTCTAGTACAATAGTAAAAAAGGTTAAGGCATAGAAGCAAACAATAAGAAATAATGAAAAAATGGTTTAATTTATTAAAAACAAATACTAGGCTTTCATTGCAAACTACAAATGTACTGATGAAACTTTGAATTCCAAATAAAACATACATAATAGAAAAATAACAACAAGATAGCTCAATAGTGGGCCAAAAGATCATCAACAATCATTATTATGTAACTTTGTGATTCCAGGAATTGCTATTCTAAATTTGATTTCAGTTAATCAGTTTTTCAGATAATTGATTTTCAAATAATCAATGCTCTACCGTATATTGTCATTAATATATTGTTCAGTTCCTATGAGACCTTGATACAAATTTCAATTTTTTTCATCACCTATCATTGATAGATAATTTTTTCATTTTAAAAACTTTAAGTCCTACATAATTTAAAAATATCAATTTCATTATTTAAAATTAATTTTTTATAGGTTAACTGTTAAAGCTAGGAATGTTAAATTACAATATAACAGATTAATCATTTGCATATAATTACAAAGGTGAAATTATCCAGACAGATGGAGAACAATCTTTTTTAGCAATATAGTTTATATTCGTTGTTCTTATAAAGTTCTGTACTTGGATAATAATGATAATATGAAACTTCTATTTTATAATATCACAGGTTTAAATAATATTGCTTTCGTAACTTTTGGAATCTGATATACAGAATGGATATGTTCTGTCTGGTAGAAACCTGGCATACATCTCTCGCAATTGATTCAATGTTTTCTAATGATTATAAAATTTATCATCAGGTAGCATATAACTGTGAGGGTCCTGAAAGACCCAATGGCAGATTAATTGTTGGTCTTAAAGTGGATGCAGTCTTTGAAGTTAAACTGATATTTCCACCACAATTTGAGCTGATTTTACATTTTGATATTGAAGACATAACCAATGTCCAGCCTATAGTGTCATCTATTCCACTAAACAATAATTATGATGATGATTTTTAATATTTTGTTGCTTATAGAAAAACTATTTGCTTCGTGGAACTAATTTGATTTTATGCGCAGATTTTAACGCTAGAATGGGATACACTGATTATTTGTCCTTTTTTACCAGCGATCAACAAATCACCTTGAGAGTTTCGAAGGATTCCACAGTTAATAATAGAGAGAAACTTCTCTATCATTTTTGTGAAAATAACAGTCTTGTCTGTTTAAATGGTCTACTGCCAGATAAAGAAAGTGACTTTACTTACCATGCAACTAAGGGAGGCAGTGTGATTGATTTCGTCATAGTGTCACAAGAAATATATTCTCATATTGTAAATGATCTATGTGTTTTATCAGAGATAGGCTCTGATCACTCACCTGTTTTTCTTTCAATGATCCCTTTGATAACATCAGGAGTTCCTAATAGACGATATGCTGGTAAACGTGCAATATAGAAGGATGAATTTAAATCTTAATTTGTTGTTAAATTGGATAAAGTTTTGTTAGATGAATATGGAGGAAAACCTCACATCCAACAATCTGGTGGAATGTATAGCTAAGGTGGCAATCTCTCTAGATTTAATTTATGACATTAAATCTGTAACATCTAAAAGGCACACATGGTATGATAACAAGTGTTTCTCCTGAGAAAAAATCTATGGACATTGTTTAAGAAAGTGAAAAAATTAAATACGGATAAATGTTGTGTTTCATATAAAAATTATTTAAAATATAAATGATTATGTCAAAAGAAAAAAGTCTTATTTTTGGAACTTAAACAGCAGATTGGAGACATGCAATAACTCTAAAATATTTTGGCAAATAATTAATAGTTTTAAATGTAAAAGTTCATTGGGTTTTCAAGAATTTCTTTGGAACAATGGTTCAATTATTATGCTACTAAATTCTCTAAAGAACATTCTTTACTTATTAATGATGAAGGCCAAGCAGTTCCGTTCCCTGAACACCGGGAGTTCGGTTGCGAGTTTGTGCCTCGCTACATGGAGTTTTCTCCAAATCTGTAACAGCCAAATAGGAACTAGTTACCGTTAAAAAGACCTCCCAGAAGGCATCACCCCTGGGCAGATTGCCCAAGTGTTGCATTAGCATAACTTAATAAAACAAATAGTAATGAACAATTCTTAATGTATGTCTATAAAGTGTTTCCAATAGAATTGGAATGTTTTATAGATTTTACACTAGAGGAGCTAAAAGGAGCTATTAATATGTCCTGCAATCTCAAAAATAATAATATTAATGATGCTGTGTAAAACACGTATAAAAAAATTACTTTTGAATTATGTAGAAATTTCCATAAATAGAAAAAATTTATTAAAGTTGGAAACTGCTTACAATAAAATGCCTNGTTCAATACTCGGATCAGTCAATCTGATTCTTATTTTAGTAATGAAAAGTTCTGCTACCGAAAATGCCTTTTCCGATTTAATCGATGTTAGTGAAATCGTCTTTAATGCATTTAAGAGAAGAAAGATGTTATGTTTTTTTTTTTTTTTTTAAAAAGCAAAGATGGTCAATACTCCGATCACTCAATTTGATTCTTATTTTACTAAAGAAAAGTCCTGTTACCGAGAATGCCCTTTTCGATTCAATTGATGTGGGTGAAATTATCTTTAATGCATTTAAGAGAAGACAGATGTTATGTTTTTTTTTTTTTTCACCTGAAGCCTGGAAGATTTCTACTTCGTTTTTGAGATGCATTACAGTACTTATTTTGCAATCTAGTATTCTTGATTTGTCTACCTCGCTGCTTTAATAGCGGCATCAAGCTTACAGCCCGATAATTCAGCAGTTTGTTTGACTTTAATAATCGGATTTATGAAGAAAAACTTCATATCGTACTCGTTTGTATCCTTGCCCAATTTGGCATAATGCAGTTATTGAAGTTACTGGGCATGGTTAAAAATTAAGACAGCATAAGCATAATTATTCCAAATATTACAGGTTCTGACAAGTATAGAATTTTCAGTCCTGTCACAAATAGTCTATGTATTGATTATTGACAATCTGTGACATGCCATAATAAGCAAAAATTTAAAAAACTAATAAGCAGACTTAAAATTAATAAATGCAAATGTATTGTGATGGTTTATGAGTTAATTATACTTTCTATTTGCAAAATTTCCTGGACTTTAACACAAAATAAGAAAAAAGTGAATTTTTTAAGAAATTTGTGGGATTTCCCAGGTTAAAAACAGTGGGAAACCCTAATTTTAGACAAAATGACCCATCCATTTGGTATTGATACTGGAGTTTTGCAGAGTGAGATTCTGAGCCCACTGCTTTTTAATTTATATATTAATAGCTTGATAACGCTACTTGCTAAATCTGACCTACCTGGGATTTCTCTCTCTGACCAAGTTGAGTTACATGTACTAATGTATGCCGATGACGCTAATTCTTGCTGATACTCCACAAATGTTACAAAAGAAAATCACAATTCTAGAGGAAGGAATTCTGTTGTGACTAAGGATTAACTATAAATGTCTTCAAAAACAAGCGATTGTATTCAAGGGCAGTAGATTATCACCCAGAGAGAGGTCTTTTAATGATCAGCCTGTATAAGTCATTTCAAAATATGTATACCTTGAGAGTATTATTTTTGTTTTCTGGACAGTTTTTACAGGCTAAAATGGCACTGGGTTCTATATGGCCTATTCTTTTAAAAGCTAATATTAATTTCCTCATATTTATATAAAGTTATTCCACTCAACGATTTCTCATCTGTACTACTATATGCTGCTCCTGTTGTAAGGAACCAAGTCTGAGCTTTATTTTTATTTTACTTTTATTTTGCTTTCATTATATTTTGTTTGGGGCTTATGTTTAGTTAAGACGAAGGTTTCCTCACCATTCACCTTAGTAACTTAAAAATAGAAGAAAAACCAACTCACCGACGAAAGAAAAGCGCCGTAGAAAAACTCGCGCACACTTGCGCTTCCCAAGCGGAAAAA